CACCAACACCAAAATTAATTTGACCCAATATTTCTTTGACAAAGAAATGAATTTGACCAATAACTGCTTTAAATGTTTGGCATAAATCAAAATCGTGAGATCTATCCAAATGGAAGAATGGTAGAAAATTAACTGTACGTTTGTTCAGAATGTAAGCATAAAATAGCTAAAAAATAAAAGTATAGTTCGATTTTACCTCAAATTGCTAAAAGAAAATCACTCCAGTCCAAAATTATCTATAGAATTAAAATTTTTAACAGATTGTTTGATAAGAATCACAAATTAACACATCAAATGCTGATGATAAAAGGAATTGACCACAACGCACTTACACGTGAACTCGTGCTGACCCCGCAAGATCATTGACCAATAAGAAAGATGTAATCCAATCATGCACTGGTCATAAGTGAAATTTCTCTGCACGTGAAAACATGTTATCTAATTTCAACAATTTATCGTTTGGTTAAGTACGACAGTCTGACCCTTTGGCCAGACTAGAGACATCATAAATTTACAGTATAAATAGCTCACTCTTTATTTAAGTCTTAGTAATAAAAAATTAAAACATAATTATCTTCTCTGCTGTCTTAAATTATTTTATTCAGCTTAATTTTCAATTAGCAAATAAAATTGGTTATATATTTATAAGATAACTTTGACAAGGAAATGATGTGTATAAATAAAAAAATAATGGATATGGTAACTATTTGAAATAAATGAACAGACCAAAATAGAAATACTGTAGTGTTGAAATTCAGAGAAGTCATCTGAATAAAGATCCGTCTAAATTACTTTAAAATAATTACCTTTACCTTGATGATAGTTTTGCTTTAAGTAATCGAGAATTGTCTAATTTTACTGTTGAAATTTACCCAAAGGATCTTACTTTAAATAAATCTAATACAAACAGCAATAGTTGTCTTTTTCTAGATTTGGATATTTCAGTTTCACACGGGAAACCCTATACAAAAATGTACGACAAAAGAGATGATATTCGTTTCAGATCGTCAATTTTCCCTTTTTGAATGGAGATCTTCCTTTACCCCGTTCTTACGGTGTGTATAATTCACAACTTGTTCGCTATGCCGGGTGTCTGTAGTCGGGTTTTAGATTTCAATGAACCTAACTTATGTATAATTGTTAAATTACGAAGTCAGGGAGTCCGTTACCACGAATTAATTAAAACCTTTACCAAATTCTTTCATAGATACAAAGTTTGACAAGGGAGTTTGACAAATAGTGTTCAAATTTAAAAACATTTTTATACAATCTTTAACAAAGTACTTTTGGCGAATTGTTTATTTTTGTTGACCATTCTTGGATGAGCTAGTCTCTTAATCTTTGCTGAACACTTAATACGACCCAATGTTTCTGAAATAAATTGTGACTTTGCCATATATTTGACATTCCATAGTCATCAACAATTTTCTTTAGATAGGATAACCATTAAAATGCATCCTTCGTTAGATAATTTAAATTATGTTATCACACTTCCTGTACTTGCCCGATAAATAATCAAAAAGTGAAATTAGGCATTAAGCTTAAATCCTAGCCTATAAGATAATGCCTAGGCAGTTAGTCTATTATCTTAATGATATTAGGCCTTACTCTTATATTCTAGAATTTAGACTTAAAACCTGAAAATTATGTTCAGGCATTAATGATAATGCCTAAAAGGAAATTGAGAGTAAATAAAAAGAAATTCGTTCAAAGTTAAAATACATTTTGTACATAATAAAATAATAAGAACTGAAGTTTGAGTGTCAACTACATGAAATAAAATCATGAGTAAAATATTGATGTTAAAACTCATAGAATAAACCTCTTAATATATAATCAAACTTGTTGGATAGTTGTCTCATTGGCAATCGTACCACATCTCCTTATATGTAAATTGATTGAAATTAATTTGTTACCAATTGGTGCGGAGCTATGACATAGACTATTTCACAGTTTTATTTTTTTCTAGCATTTACACCTGGTGATTGTCCAATACCTTTGTGTAGAGCAGAATTCTTTTGTATATGGACAATTTGATTCCAATTGACCAATGTTAATTCTTTGTTCCTCATCCATGCAGTAAGCATGTCATGAATATTTCCATTTGACCACTCAATACTACCCTATGATTAGCGACCTACATTTGCGCAAATTTAAATATGACAAGCATAACGTTTGCGCGAAGAAATGGTTTTACGTTTGCGCGAATTTACCTATAATTTACCTGAGTTTTAAAACCTGATTTAATCCTGAGAATAACCTGAATTTTACGTGTTTATCTACGAAAATGAGTTATCTCGTTGGTTGTTGTCTATCATATTTGTTTTTCGTTAATTATTTTGAACACATATAGACAATCATATCACATCTTCTTATTTCTTATAGCCAATTTTATAAATATATATTAGAGAAGTCTTTATTCGTTTATATAAACATTAAAAAAGACAACATTAATGAAAAAAGAACAAGTTTTGAATACAATACAGTGACTATTCAGGAAAGGAACATTCATAGGATACCGTCATGAATAAAACACAGTATACATGTATATGATATCTACGGGAACCAATTATAAGTCTTGTGGCAGCAGATGACTTTCAGCATTCGTCTGTAGTTCTTGGCGAATTATTTTCGACAGACGTGTGGAAATGTCAGAAGCATTCTGACTTCTTTATTATGTTACGAACTTGCTGTCTTTCTAATTTGCATTCATCAATATCCTAGTTATGTTCATGCGTTCCCGTGAGTAACACTTGACATTATAAGTCAGTTCTTATTCTACACTTGCACATTTGTTTGTGCATCTCCGGGAAATGTCTCTACTTTTCAACTAATAATCTTTGTACGGAAAGTACATCCAAAGAAAACATCAAGGACTTTTTTCTTTATTTGTCTCAGAGATAATATGCTTTTTTTTATTAATCCGTGCAAATGAAGTGACTTTTCGCTAAAGGTAAATTGCACGCAAACATAATGCTGTTTGTCGCGCAAACGTAACGCGCCGCCTATGATTGGAGATGTATTAGCTTCCCGTGAACAATAACTAGTTCTGGTATCATTAGTAACATTAGCATTAATTCAGATATAACCTTAGCTGTAAATTCACGACCTTTGTCACTTTGCTGTTTATGTGGCACACCAAATATTGTGAAAACATAAATTAAATTAGAAGTCACCTTTTGAACACTTTTTGACGTAAGTGCTCTAGTAATATAATTTTTTAAGGTGATCTTGGTACACCATACAAAAATATAGTTTCAATCTTACTTTGATTGGAAAAATAATGGATCAACAACCTGACCTCTTCTGTAAAACGGGTTTTTACTAAGTACTCCTTCCATATGCACATTTTATCATGTTACAATTTTCACCAAATTGAAGAAATAGTACAATGGAATGATTGAAAATGTTTGCAAAGCCATTATAAGGTTGTTTAATTCTACGGTCTATAATGATAATAGGCCGTTTTGACATATTTCTTAATATGTTTTTCCCAAAATACCATACAGTTCCTCTAGAAAAACATAAATTTGTTTTTTCTCTTTTACTTTTGTTACCAGTCTTTCAAACCTCCAACGGTAAAATATTGCATGTCGTACCATTTAAAATTATAATAGTCTATAGTTGCCTTATTTTCTGATTTGGAAAGTTTAATCTTAGCAAAATAATCATTGTACTTTTGCCTTGGGTATATGATCTTTGTTTTCCTTGATTTATATTCCACAAAGATTCCAAAAATTTGTTGTTGCTTAAATGCTAATAATCCAAATTCGGAAGTGAAAAGACAAGATGGGTATTTAAAAAAAAATACATATCAAATAAAACAGATTGAAAGATGATGTGACAGGCAAAATTTTCATGATCAGTTGTCTATTTTTGACCAGCTCAAACCGGCTCGACAATGAGTAAGTTCTGTTTTGAATACGAAAAAATACTAGAAAATGAATATCAAATACATTTGAAAAAAGGTTTAGCGCTATAAAACCAGGTTCAATCCACCATTTTCTACATTTGAAAATGCCTGTACCAAGTCAGGAATATGACAGTTGTTGTCCATTCGTTTGATGTGTTTTGTCATTTGATTTTGCCATGTGATTAGGGACTTTCCGATTGAATTTTCCTCGGAGTTCAGTATTTTTGTGATTTTACTTTTTACATCAGTTTATATTAATTTTTGAATATAATTTTTAAAATATTATTTAACAAGAATATTTCACCGAATGAACATGTATTTGGAAGATATACAAAAATCCCAAAATTAACTTATTGCCTGAAATGATGTCTGGCTATAGGTTGAATAATCATCATCAGATTTCAGGAAATAAGCTTAATGCCTGGAAATTTCAGGCAATAACTTAATGCCTAGGCGTAAGCTTATTGCCTAGGATTTAAGCTTAATGCCTAATTTCACTTATTGCCGCTAACATATACAAAAATATAGTAATTACTTCAACAAATGACATTAATTACTACAACTAATGAGATTAATTACTACAACTAATGACATTAATTCCATATCGTACTTATTGTTATTATATCGTATCAAATACGAATGTCACTTTTATAATCTTTTGAGAAAAGAGTTCTATGATAAAATAGTGTTAAACACAAGTGCCAAGCTCAATTGGCTTTTTGTCATGAAAAAATAGAGGTATTGAAAATTATTGGAACTTATATTAATAAACGCTTTGAACTCAGAAAGCTATCAATTTAGTACAAAAATGTTTATATGTAAACCATTAAGAATATTTGCCTGTTAATATTTATACGATCTATTAATTACTGCTTTTTTACACAAGTGCTTATGGATCTGTTCCGACTGTGGCCTAAGATCATAAAATTTAAAGTTGATTATATTCAAATTTATATATGATTGTATACATTATAAAATTATTTGTGTCTCTCAATTACGAAAAAAAAAGATTGAAATAAAGTCTTTGTTCATCATGGACCTATTGATTGGAATGAATATATCTTTATATTAAACTATTATATTTCAGATGTACTCTCAATATGGATAGGAGGGTCTGATTTGAAATCTGAAGGTACTTGGGTATGGACCAATTATTCACAAGAAGGAAAGCTGATTCAACCAACTTTCTGGGGACCGAACCAACCAAACAACTATAACGAACAAGACTGCTTGGCATTCTATAAATTTTATGACGGCTACGGGTGGGATGATGATCAATGCCATCTACAATATCATTTTATGTGCGAGAAGTGACATATAAATATCTTATATACTTTATCAATTTCCTGGTTATTATGCTATATTAATGGATTTCACTTGATCTTTCTTTTTTATAAAAAAAAACATACATCGAAGTGAAAAAAAGTGTTACAAACACAATTGTCTCTGAAAAAAATGTACCTTTATTAAAATAAAGAGACAAGTGGCTACAACTGTTTTATTAAAGGACTTGATTCTTTGACATTTTGCCAGTGTCTTGTGACTTACACAAATAGAATTTAAAAATTAACCCTTTGTAATGCTCAAAAATTCTTAATATAAAGAATCGAAAATACTGATTATTAGGTAGCAACATTCCCGCATTTTTATAAAGTATTGAACCAATTATTGTTTAACATCCTTAGTTGGTGTTTACTCACCTGATGTTTCTTTTTTGTTGGTTCGTTGATTTACATTGTCTCGTTGGTTAATCATTCTCTGGTCTTACATTCCCTTTTACATAGCTAACTTGATGAATATCCTTCAATGGCATTAGTCCGTGGGGCCGGGTCTACTTTTTCAATATGTTTTTTTCTTGTCGGATTGTATTTTGTACATATAATATATTTATGTTGATTTACACGTCACTATAATACACAATTTACTTATGGTACGTTTTTAATTCAATATCTCGCTTTTTACATACCACTTACTAAATTAATGGTAAAATTTTTATTCTAAAATGCATAATTAAAATTCATTTATCTTTTATTTGTTTTCTATAACTATTATCATTTAATTTTCCTTAGTGCTAGTTCAGTCAATCCGCATGCACGATTAGAGTGATACATTTTTTCTAATTGGTTCAGTGAATTTTACATTTAACTTAGCTGGTCCATTTCAATTAGTCCTGCTCGTAATTTCTACTCAGTAAAGGTTCCCTTTCAAATCACTATATTTGTATGGTCATTCTTCTAATCAGTTTTCTCTGAACAGGTCATAATTTTTATTTAGTTGACAGTTCGATCGACTTAAATGTAAAATTCTCGAAATATTTCATTTTGACAAAGTCATTTGTGCATTTTTAGAGTTGGCCAATTAGAATAGAATATCTTGAAATTCTTGCTCTTGTAGATAGAAATGTAGAAATCCCACTGGGGCCCGGTTTTATCCAAAAGACATAGACAAGTATATTAAGAAAGAGAAAATTTATTGTGCGGTGTTTGGCCCATTTAAAGTTAATCCTTTTTCTGATAAATTGGAAATATCTCCTCTTAATTCTGTTCCGAAATCTAGTTCCACCTAAAGACGGGTCATTATGGATCTTAGTCACCCAAAGGGTCATTCTGTGCATATATAAGGTATACACTTTATCGGATGAATATTTCTCACGTAAAATATATCTATTTTGTCAAGATAGGAAAACAATGCATTTAAGTGTAGAACACAAAAAAACAGAAGCACGTACTGAATATTTATACTGCCGTATGTTGAATGTTCAAAAAAATTTTAATATCTGATACTTGGAAAACATAAAATTAGGGGTAATTCATAATATAAGTGTACTTCAGGTTTCAGACAAGATACATGTATAAAGGTGTCAGACCATCAATTCACCCACTCAAATTTAGAACATATGTCAAAGTATCCCTTCTCTGACAAAACATAGTCCTTTAGGTGTCATTGTTTACTCAAACTAACCAACCAATTTGCAAAATGAAACTTTTTGTGAAAGAGAAATATAGACCATTTTCAGCTTAAATTTATCTGTCCGTGAGTTTGCATTAAAAATTAACGATTAATGCGTTCCATAGTAGGGGGTCTGGATGGGAGTCTTCATTTCTGTATACTGCAATTCTTAAGAACATTTTTCTCTATTCAGTAAGAAATATTTTTTTTTTTTATAATGAATTTTCTTTATTGTAACAAATAGACTAGCACAACATGTATGAACAAAGGTATACAGAATGACATATTCACACAAAGGAAGTATTAAATAATTAAACAACAATTGAATATATGATGGTGCAACAATAGGTTGAAAATAAATAATTTTCTTATAACATTGGAATCTTATTTGTTCTTGCAATATCTATTAGTGGTGTTTCAATCAAAATTCGACATTTATTATTTATTCTATAATAGGGGTCCAGGGACTCCAGTATTTGTTATATTCATCTACAGAGAGGTTTTTAAATGAAATGTATTTTTCTAAGTTCAAGTGTTCCTTTAAATAGTTTTTTAAAGCATTTAAATTTGGCAAAACTTCTTGTAATTTTGTTCGGTAAATATAGTATTTTGAAAGCAAAATAATCTTATTTTTAACAAAATTCAATTTAACATTTTCGTAGATACCAAATAGAATAATCATTATATTCAAAGGCAGTTCAATATTTGTCATTTCAAAAATCCAGATGTTTAGTGCATGCCAGAGACTGGCGACCATTGGACAGCTCCAAAATACATGTTCTATGGTCTCTTGTCCTTCTTTGCAAAATGTACATATGTTGCTACTATTTATTTTCATCTTGTAAAGTAGTGAATTAGTTCCTAAAATTCTATGTATAATTCTATATTGGAACCAGCAAAGCTTAGTGCTTCTAGTATATTTTGTACACGAAGTGTGTATTTTTTTCCAGTTAATACCAGTCATATTAAGATGGTTCTCCCATTTTTCCTTTGCAGCAAAAGTAATATATTTCTCATTCAATATTTTGTACATGTCCTTTGAACCTTTTTTTGATTCAAAGAAGATACTTATGTTAAAAGGTAGTATTGCTTGAATTTTTTTCTCCTTTACTTCAATATTGATCGTGTTTAACCACTCATTAAGCGAGTGTGCTATTCCATAATAATGTAAAATATTTGGCCTAAATTGATATAATTGTTGGAAATTTTGAAATGACATAACTTTGCCCTGATAATCTAACAAATCATGCACTGTCCAAATTCCAGCGTTTGCCCAGTTTTTATAATAGACTCTTGAACCACCAATTTTAATGTTTTCTACCTCCCATAAAGAATAAGATAGAATTTCATCAATACATCTTGGTTTTCTAATTTGATTAAGGGTTTTCCAAGCATCAAAAACCTCTTGCCAAAATTTATTTGATGACCTTTTAATAGGCCCAATATAACTTAGTTCACTAAAATTTATTTGCTCCACAATAGAGACTAATCTCACCCACTTTGAATTCGAATTATACAGCCGTCTTACCAATGTTAGTTTCAGTCCCTGTATAAATGCTTTTAAATTTAGCATTTTTAAACCACCCATATAATAATCTTGACATAAAAGATCTCGCTTGACCTTATCAGGTTTATTATCCCAGATAAAAGCATACATTTTATTTGTTAAATTACATAACATATTCTCATCTGGACTAGGGATAGATAGAAACAGATGATTTAATTTAGATATGACCAAAGTTTTTAAAATGGTAATCTTTCCAAAGGGGGTGAGATACTGTTTTGACCATTTTTTCAAAGTGTTGTCTATATTATCTAAAACTGGCCTATAATTTAAATTAATCATTCTATCTAGGTCGACTGAAAAAGTAATTCCAAGGAGCTTAAATGTACTGGAGCCCCATTTCAATCCCCACTTTACACAAATTTGATCCTGGCTATGTTTTTTGCTACCTATCCAAATAACACTTGTTTTTTCTATATTAATCTTAAGTCCCGAGATTTCAGCATACAATTGGAGAACACGAAGAGATGCATCGAGCGATTCTGGCGAGCCATCTAATATCAATGATGTATCATCTGCATATTGAGAAAGTACAAATTCTGTATCATCTATAGTAATACCCTTTATCTCCTTACTATTTCTTACCAAAATGCCTAATATTTCAGCACATAGCAAGAAAATATAAGGGGATAAAGGATCTCCCTGTCTACAGCCTCTCTCTACAGTGAAGAATTCTGACAGAAAACAGTTTTGTGTCACTGCAGCTGTTATATTGTTATAGAAGGTTTTAACCCAGGATATAACTGATTCACCAAAATTAAAATATCTTAATGTATCATAAAGAAAGGACCAAGAAATGGAATCGAATGCCTTCTCAAAATCAATCAGCAAGAGAATTCCTGGGATATTATTTTCTTCAGTAAAATGTAGAATATCATATATTAATCGACAATTTTCGCCTATATATCTACCTGGAACAAAACCAGTTTGATCAGAACTTATTAATTTTGACAAAACAGATTTTATTCTCTCTGCTATACAGCTTGATGCTAATTTATATGTAGAATTTAGAAGAGTAATAGGTCTCCAATTTTTAAGAAAGTAAGAAATATGCTTATTTTGTAAAACTCTTGTGTTCAGGTCCAACACATGCAAATTTCCTGTTAAATCATAATTATTACATGACAGTTCTTCTTTTTGTGTTTCAACCTGCAGTAGATTAGTATTATTGAGGAGTGATGGTTGTTTGCCTGTATTCAGCAATTTGTGCCTCTTGTTACAGAGGGGTATGTAATTCTTGAAAACAGTATAGATGCTGCCGAGTGGAGCGTGGCTAACAATTTTTGTAAACAATTTTATGCTAAAAATGATATATTTTCCTATCAAAGGGTGGTGGGAGCATACGCTTTTGATGTTAAAAAGTTGAGGTATAGCGATCCTACCCCCACCCACTTAAATCCGTCACTGCACTACACAAAGGACATCATTTATCCCTTTTGATTGATATCTGATTTAAACCAAACACATAAAAAATTAAAATTATTATAATTTCGTTTGTAATCATTTGGATATCTGGGATAATAAGCAGTAGATAAAACAACATTAGGTATAGTTGATCATATTTTGTTTGTGGTATGATGTACTAGTATTGAGAAGCTGAACATCATACCTAGGTCAGTTTTATAACAGAGACAGTAATTTTGAACCGACATTACAGAAATCTTAAATGGGATAGTTAGAGATCACAAAATAAAGAAGCTATATTTGATCAATTATCTACATCACTGAATAAAGATTAAAAAAACACATACAGACAAGTTAGCGGTGGCAATTTATATATTTGTTTTGAATTTAAAATTTGATCACCTGAACTAGATTTTTGTCCTTGATAGCCTATAGCCAATGGTAAAAAAAAAATATCCACAAATTGTCTATCAATCGATTGTTTTGGAGAAGATTAAAATATATTCAACATTCATTGGTGGTGAATTTTTTTTATACCCAATCATTTATGAGGCACGGAATTTGTCAAAATTATTACATTTAAGGAGATTCTGAAATATTTT